AAAAGAAACCTTTATTTATATTTTAATAGAAAATATTAATAAATCTAGTTATAAGAATAAATGCTGCTAGAAATAATAGCAATTGCTAAGAGCTGGACACGACTAAAATTTTTGATCAAGAAGTAGAACTTAAATTCTTCTTCATACCTGAACTAGATCTAAATTACAGCATGTAAAGACAACATGTAAAATTACAATGTGGAAGAAAATAAAGGAAGAATGACCAGAAGACAAGAGAGAGCATCCTAGTAACGTATCACGTTCACATACATTACGCCACGTACTATTTTACTTCAAGCTCTCCCAGTAATACACACAAAAATAACCTCAGCAGAAACTCAAGATTAGAAACATGTCCCATTCCTGAGCACAGTAATGTGCAGAGATCACGGCACGAAAGTTTTTGCCTGACTTTTTTATAGATTCTGCATTGAAGTGTTCTTTTCTGTGGACTGGGTAATGGACATGGCACTGCTGCATTGATAAGCATGATACTGTGTAATGTACAGGAACTCCCAGGTTTAGCCCACCCTGGTTCAGTTTCTGATGTCAGCATACAGAAGAGTCATCTCATTGCATCTAATTTTGGGTAGCTCCATAAGTGGATGAATAATAAGCTGGGTTTTGAAATTCTTTTGGGCTTCCAAAACTATCTGATGGATTTAGATCTCTAACTTTCCTGGATGGCTTCAATAATAACCTTCCAAAGATAGTGAAAATGAAGTCCAATTCTAATGCAGTCTACTTTATGTGAGAGCAACAAGTTAAAGCATTTTTTCTTTTGTTTGGTTGATTGTAGATTTCAACTTTGTAGAGGTGTGTCACACTTAAATGCATTTCCAAGGTCTGCTTTAGTGTATGTAACTCAGAGATGGTGTGTTAAAACATTAACAGTGGGGAAATAATTATTACTTATGAATTAAGATTGAATGATTTTGACTTCAGGGAAAAAAATATGACCATAATAGAAAATCTGGTTCCAAATGCTGTGATATGACTATGATCTCTGAGGTTGCAGTGTGCCTTCCCAAAATAATTACTTTCATCTCTCATCTGGAGGGAAAAGTAATTGGTTTATGGTACATGATCTACAGGGTTCTACCATGTATGCTATTTCATACTGTGAGTACTTAGCAAACCTACATGGCAACTTTGTGCTCAGCAGTGAAGATATCTCTGCACATCCATGCAAAATAGCACAATTATCTTAGGAGCAAACTGTCAGGTAAAGCAGGGGAGCTGCTATTATTTTTTTTATGATAGAAAAATGCTTCTCTCTACCAGTACATTTCATTTTTCAATGAAGATCGGAAATTCCTCCTTGGAAACCAGTGCTAACGGTAATCCTTTTAATTAAGCAGTATACAGAATCACATAATTTCTGCGTTCTGCACCTCAAATCAACTGAGCACTTACGTATTGCATTTCTTTCATAACATTTTCACTTTCTCGGCTGATGCTTCAAAAGAATTAATAAAAAAAGAACACTACCCTAAGAAAAGGTACAGATAACACTTTAATGTCAGTTTTCAAGCCACAGCGTGGAATGAACTTGACATCCATTGTGTCAGTGGAGGTCTGCATTTTCTCTGTACGCAGGAGAAAGATGTATGTTGTTTTAATACTAGACCTTATTGCTGATTTTATTAAGATAATTTCACAGTTTTTCAGAGGGGATGGGTCTTTCTCCAGTATTATTACTCAGTAGCTGATAGAGGGAGCTGTTATCAGAAAATGTCAAATGCCAATAATGCAGAGTCAATGTCCATTATATCTCTCACTTTTTTCCATTACAGGATAGAAGTAAACAAGTTTGGTGCCCAGTCAGGACTGTGAAGTGCAGGAAATACTGAAGGTAGCTTCAGGGAAGGCAGTGGTGAGATTGGCATAACGAGAGAGAGGCTTTTCAATGAAGTGGAGCAGGCTGAAGTGATGCTTGGAAACCATGAGAAGTATCATGTCTGATTAGTGTGGCTGTGCAAACGATGTAATGAGACATTTGAGAATGAAACTGAATAGGAGTTGGGTAAAAGATTAGTAATCAGCATGTCTGTCGTCTACCAGAGGCCCAAGAGAGTGCTGCACAAGACACTCATGTCATATATATCGGCAATGTCCAGATATGGAAATACAAACTGACATAAGATGGTGCAGAAATGCTGAAGAAGTCAGTTATAGGGAGTAGCCAAGCAGCTGGAAAGTGGAAACATGAGAATGAGGCAGGAGCCCATAGCACCTAGAAGTCCACTAGTACCCGAAACATCAGTAGTTACCGCCATGACAGAGCTCAGACGTGGACAGGAGCCTATAATGGTAAATTAAACCCCAAGACAACTTAGCCATTTAGGGGCTCAGCTGTATCAGTATGGAATACATAAAAGGTCCCTATATCTGCATTTCACATTGGAACACACTGTTGGTGGCTTAGGAATCCAGCTGCCACTTTGATGCCAGCTTACAGCATGGAGCTTTACTTCCACTGTCTTATGTGCAATCACTTGCCCAGATTACTGTTTTTATCCCAGGTGCTAAAGACAAGAAGTTGCCTCATCTCCTCTTCCTTCCCTTCCCTATTTCCATTGTTGTTTTGAGGTGCTATTAAAAAAAGTAGAGGGAAAGTTCCACTTTCAGAGTTATGGTTTTAGGCTGTCTGCAATGTTGGGAAGTAATAGACTTATTTATGTACATGACCACTTTTTTTTTTAAGATTGCCAGCACAGACATGAGAGCTGGGAACTTGCTGTATCTCCTCAAAGTCAAACAAAGAGCAGTGTAATCCCATGACTCCACCAACTGGGACTATGTACACTTATTGTGTGGCCTGACTGTTGGAATACAGGCATGGCTCAAGGTTCAAGTTTTCACAAACTGTCTTATAAGAATACAAAATTAAAGAACATGAGGGATGAAGGGTGAGTTTTGCACAGAGGTTACTCAGAGAGGCAAGTGTAAATTGCTGCTCTGTTAGAAATTTCAAAGTAACAAGGATGTCATCATTCATTCACTAGCCAAAGGAAATGACCGAAAGCTGACAAAAAAACATCATCCCATTGCTCTTCCAAGACTGTGAATCAAAACCGATAGTAAGTTCTTTGGTGAGAGAAGGAATACCTTTATTAATATTAAAGAAATTACACTAAGACCTCTGTCAAAACTCATCTGATGAGGTATGACCAGACCTAGCTACAGTGATTCATATCTACATATCATACATATCATTCATATCTAATGATTACACAGAGTAATAATCTCATTGCAAAAGGCAATCAGACACTTGTTCACTCTTATCTTTTCTTCATAGTTGTACTTACTAAGAAAGGATCTGTCTTTGATCATCTTTTCCTTTGCTGCCCTTTAAGTCATTCCATTACAGGGCCAGAGTTTCCTGGCCATTTATCATTTCACCAGATCAATTTTATCTCCAGTCTCTGTTGAGATGTTACAAACATTCCGTCAAACATTTTTTTGTCATTACAGTAGTTACAATGCTGTGCATGAAGATGCTTGGGTGGTTTTTTTAAGAAACTGCTGAAACAGCTTTTTTTTTTCTTTGCCTTTTTTTTTCTTAAGGTCTGGAAATCTTAATTGAATTTTTCATTTAAAAAAAAAAAGAAGGAAAAATATTGATTGAATCTAGTTTTGTCTGCATCTCCAAGAAGTCTTTTTTAGTGCAACTTTTCAACCTGATTATTTCTCCTGAATTGCCTCCAGAGCCGGGGCTCAACCCATCTGTTACTGCTGAGCTCTTTACTATCTCTATTTCATTTACCTCTCTACCTCTTCTGCTTTTCAGATTCAAGCCTGACCTGTAGACTTTTTGAAAGAGAAGGGTATTCCAATAAAATAAGTGCCATGATACAACAACTTTCTTCTGGGGAAGACTGACCCCTGCGTTGTCTCAGGGAAGCACAGCTGTTCTGTTTCATAAAGGAAACTCACTCCTTCATCAGTGGAGAGCTGAAGTTCAGTGGCTGAGCTTTCCTTCAGCATTCAGATTTACCTGGGAGATGGTATTACTGACATTCTGATGATGAGGGTGGATTTCAATATTTAGCAGTGATAAGTTTTGTCTGGTTGGTTTGTTTGTTTGTTTTCTCCACACAGATGTAACTTTGCAGTTCAGTGGCACAAGGGGAGTGCCACTGGTCCTTCCCCATCCTATGCCAAGACTGCTTCCCTTGCAACTTGAGCACATTTTCCAAGAGGTAAAACAAATTTAACACAAAACTTCATACAGAGGTCTCATACCTTTTTCAACAAAGCCATGTCCTCATCCAGCAGGTACAATTTATTCTACTTTTACAGTGATGGTATGGAAATGAAGAGACACTAAGCATTCACTAATTGTGCTGTAGCTCTTGGGTACCTAATAAAAGACATATGTGACCAGATATTCACAGTGCTTTTCAGGCAGCTAATTCCCTTGCACATGGATTTGCAGTGCTGTTAATGAGTGAGTCATTAGGGCAACATCAGAGGCCTAATTGAGGATCTCCAAATGTTAATGCCAGAGCTGCTAGACTGTAACTGGTTTCAGCTAAGAGCTTTAGCAGAACTTTTTCCTCAGCAGCTGAGGTCTAGGAAGAAACGCATGCTGGGCTGTCCACCTTCCAGCTGAAGCTCCTGGAAATAAGAGGTATTTCTTATCTCTCCAGATCAAGCACTTGTTGTGTAGTTTGGACGGGGTAGGTGAAGATGTCTTGGTCTAAGTCTGGATATCATGGCAAACGATTCATGTTCCCAACGGGTTAGAACCACACGTGTTGCTGCTAGCATGCAGTCCTGGGACATCACAATTTGCCCTGTCACTAGAAGGCTTCTTTGGGGAGCTTGTGCCAGAGAGGAACCCATACATCCATCATATTCAGTGTGAACTGACCCTGTTGAAAAGTGAGGCTGTCAGTTTTACTCAGGGTCAGTCTCAGCACTGTGCAAGCCACAACACTACATTCGAGTCATCTAATTAGATACCTTTATTAAATACAACCACAATTTGTAAATGTAATTGCATTGCTTTGATTTTTACTATTTTAATAGTAATTCACGTAAGTGACTCCTATCCAATTGACAGGTGTATAGAGGTCAAGCGTTATTCAATTCAGGCTGTTCAGTTCAATCAGCATTCAGTTCTCTTCAGTGAAACCTTCCAGTAGGCTGGCCAGGAGCTGTGAGATGAAATTGTGATATTAACTGCCAGTCTTCTTGAAAGAGGTCTGAAACACCTGATTAGCAAGACAGAAGGCAGCAGAGAGCTGAAGAATCAAAACTTGTAAAAGCTCTTCTTAAATCCACAGTGATGTAGCTACCAAGCATCTTAGTAAAACAATAAATGTTATTTTACACGGATCCAAAAATACAAAGGATCCAAGGAAATGTTTTTCCCAACTGAGTGGGCATTTCCCAGGACTTGTTGGTTTTATTACCTCATCTGTACCTTTAGCTGTCAGCAAAGTAGTGCTGAAAGCTCCCTATTTAAAGCAGGTCATAGCAAACAGAAATTTACTGTCTAGCCAAAGCTTATATAAATTTACTGTGGGCAAAAGCTCAATAAAAGCTTATAAAAGTGGTACCTGTGGCTTCCAAATTAAGACCGTTTTCTCTAACTAGCCTCTTTTTTTCCCAATTTTTCCTTTTCCCTCCATTCTTAAAAAAGTAAAAAAAAAAAAAAAGCAGCAACAATATTGTGAAGGCCATAAAATCCATGTGTCCATGTGCTTATACTGAGCAGAGATCTGACATTAAAATTTTGCTAGAAGAGAAGTACAAACTTCTAGTTCAACTGGAAGGGGAAACCAAGCATTCTAGAGTTGACTTTGGTGTGATTCTGAGAAACCTTATGCATTTGCCTGGCATTAATTTCCATATGGTTATATCCCAAAACAGTCTGTCCTCCCCTTGGAAGTTAATTCCCAGCATAATTGTTCTTTGTTTACAAGCCAGTTTTCCAACTAACAGAGCAAAACCTCATTTCATCTTTTCATCTGATAGAAGTCTTACTGAAAGCAGCCAGCACAGAACTTGTTTATGGCAGATGCTGTCCTTGTCATTAAATTATCATTGTAAAGAGCAGGGGCAGGCAATACATTTGTTAATGTTAAGCCACTGCAAATAAAAGACTTCTTCTAGGACTCCTCTGTAGCAGAGGAGCTCTAAGCTAATCATTTTAATAAGTAGCTTAAGAGGAGTGAATAGCTCTAGTAATTAGAAATGGTCTGCAGAGCAAATAACATGCTGCTTGTGTGCCCTGTCCTGGGCTCAGTGTGTTATCTTGACTCTCAACAAGCCCAGTTCATCTAACCTAGCTTTAAGCTTTCTCTACAGCATAAGGAGAGCTGTGTACAGAGAATGCAAGATGAAATCCTCATTTAACTTTGGTTAAATGAGGTTCAGATTTAAGAGCTTCTCCTAGTTGGATGCATCTGGTCCCAGGAGCATCTCAACTCTCCCATTCTGTGAAAGGATAGCTGCTGCAACTTCCCTTGGGAGCATAAAGAATAAGTTGGGCAGAAACCCACAGCCTGTGCCAAGCAGAAGCTCTCCCCTTTATTTTTGGCAAATTAACATGTCAAAACAGTTGTTCTGGAAGGCAGCAATATCTAGGGATCAGAAAGCTAGTGGGTGGGGTAAACATCTCCTGAGAGATGAACATCCAAAACCAAGGAGTTTGTAGTTTCTAAATGGGCAGTCCCATTTTCATATCCAAATTAAGTGTTTCATATCCAAAATAAGTGTTTCAGATCTAAACAGTGTCCTAAGTGCTGCACTGGGAATTAATTCTTAATTTCATTTACCTGGGCAGGAGGCATGGTTTTCTGGAGACAGTGCCTTAGACAGATCCTGCTCCTAGGTAAAGATTTGTTATGGAAAGTTTCCCTTTGTCCGTTTGGCTGGCAGATTTGTATATGCTGGAAAGAAAAACTGCTTTGCATTGGGCATGCACTGCTGTTTGCCTCAAAAGAAAGGTGAACTCGGCTTATGGCACTCATGGGACTTATTTGCACATCTGTTCTCAGTGGCAGCTTTGTTGTCTGAAAAGGTTACAGTCCTTCACCTACCCTCTTGCTCCCTATTGGGGCAGCCACTTCTGCTCCCTGCTGCGGATCACCCACCTCCAGATCTGTCAGCTGAGCCACTCACTCCCTGGTTTGTCTCAGACAATGCTAATACTGTACTTAAGCACAGCTTGAATAACCATGATTTGCTAATCATATTTCTCTTGGCTAAAGCAGGGCAGAGGATATAGTGATGTCCAGGAGGGAGATGGAATTGAACAGAGTAGGACTGTGATCTCTGTGTACAGTATTTGCAGCCCAGTGGGGCTTCCTGGACACACAGTCCTTCAACTTACATGCATTTCTCTCTACAAAGCAGTGAAAAATCACCGTGATTCCAAAATAGTCCCATACCCTGACTTAATTGCAGGAGGGGAAAAAAAAGTCTAACTACCAGGACAGGTAGCTGAATCACTCACAGCTTACAGCCTGCAGGGATGAGCATAGACAACCAGGGAGGCTCTGTCTGCTCCTAATACACATTGATCTACTCACTGCATGCTGAAAACCTTCAGGCTTTTATTCTGTACCACAAAGCAGTGCAATCATTTAAGTTGTACCAGATATTTACCCCCTCCCTGTCTCTCTTCAGAGGCATGAATAGTGTTATAAATGCAAAGAAAATATCTGTGAAAACATGGTGTCTCACAATCAGTGAAACCCAAACTGAACTTAATAGAGCAGGCCTGGAAAATCTTCAGTAACCAGTACTCCATACAGGCATCATACAGAGGCAACATACCTGTAATATAATATTTTGAGTTGGCTTGTTTGTTTTAGCAAAAAAATATTATCATCAAATTACTTGGAAATGTCTACACTGAAGATGATTTTTCTCTCCATTTATTTGTTGTTTGCAAAATATGGTCATCTTTTCTCTTAATGTAGAGAACCTGATATGTACCTGCAGCCAAAGCTAATGATGCTGACCAAAAACTATTCAGTGAAGCTGTTTACAGGACAATAAACAATAAAAATTGCTGGAGAAATTCAGGACTGTTAAGCTACAGAAATGATTGATCAGCTAGAATTTAAGCAGTTGTTAAGCTTAATTTAAATACAGGAAGAATATCACATTTCATCAGCTTCCATCTTCAAATTTAAGAGCTTCTCAAGTCCTCATTTATACTTAAAATGTCACTGGCACATATATTAAAGCTGACAAAATCAATTTACTGCAGCAAGATATTCAAGTTCATCTCCTTATTTTCCCCAATCATGTTAATTTTCCTTCAGCATTCTTTGTTTATAAAAAAACAAACAAACAAGCACTTTCTGTTCATTAGTCTGAAGTTCTTACACAATCATTTATGTGCACTTATGAGCATTGATGGCATTCGGTTCAATTGCACTTTAAAGTCCCCAACATATCTCATCCTCTGGACACTGTTTGTCTGTATCTCACTAAAAAGCCCCTGTAAAACAACCTGCCCTCCATAAACACATTTCCTAAGAGGATGCTCAGAGTATTTTGAAATATGTAGTCATCCAAAGTTTAAATAATAATTAAAATTTAAAAAATAGATGTGAGCTTTGTCTGAGACTCCTGGGCATTAGTGTTCAAGGTAAGTCATACGTCCTTTCCCACCTTCCCTTAGCCATAAGTAGAAACTCTGGGGAAGATGACTCACATATTTTCCAGCATTCTCATTTTAATCCTGATCTTTTCCCTAAGGAAAAAGGATCTCCCTCCACTTGTGTCTGCTAAAGAGAGACAGCAGACTTTACCTCATGGTTTAATTCTTTGGTATCTGACAAGGAGAATGCTCCAAAGAAAGCTTAACACTGGTCTTCTCCTTCTTCTCGTGGCCCAGGGTTTCTTGAAACCAGTATCCTAAAAGCATCTGCCACCTCCCTCAAATGTGTCTGAAACTGGCCAGTTCAGACAGATTCCTGTGGAAATACAGGAAAGATTCAGGCATAGAAATCAATTTCACACCAGCCATCTAAGAAAAAAAAAAACAAAAAAAGGTCTCTTTTTCAGAGTCCTTATCTTTAGGGAAATATTATTTTTCCCACAAGCATATCCTCAGACCAGACCAGCCATCCCAACAGATGTCCTAAGAAAAGCAAAGAAACCTTTAAAATAGTATCATTTCATCACCAAGTCTTTCCCTCTCCACACACACTAGAACAATCACAGCACCTTGCAACAGCTGAAATGCTGGACTGTGTCCCTTACTATTGTTAAATAGCTGCCCTCTGTTGATTTTAACTTGCTGTCATCTGCTTTAGTCTAGTCTTATTTTCAGTGCTGCTAAGAACACAGTCTGGTAAAAAGCTTTGGAAATTCCCTATGGTAACACAACACTTTTCCATTCAGCTATCATATCTGCAGGGATAAATCCCAAAGTTTCTACACCAGCAGTCATGAGCACTCCACAGCCATGCCTGCCACCCCAGTGCCCCCTCAATACCTTTTCAGGAGGCTGCTCACTTTCTTCCGTTCCTTTCTGCCTGTACCCCTACCTTTGCCAAGACTCACCTGGCTAGTGCAGGGACCCCTGCTCATCAATTCTGAGTTTTTCTTTGGCTTTTCTTCCTTCAGGAAAGAGAGGCAGTTGCAAAGGCAGCAATCAGATGGACTTGAAAATAGGTTGTTCTTGGAATTTTTCACCCTCAAAGATGTGTAAAGCAGGTTAAGCCTACTTACGCATAGATGAAAGCATACAGGGGACCAGTGGGCATCTGTACCTTCCATACCTCATACCATGCATTGCTTTGATCATAGACCTAATTCTAAAGCCTTACATTCCATCCTGTGTCCTATTAACCATGCCCATCAATCCCTATAGCTCAAAACACTAGTGCATTCCCATCTTTTTCTATCACCTCTCAAGTGTGGCTCCTCCATCATAGACTATGGCTCTCCAAAAAATTCACTCCTGTCTCAAGCATAAGTCTGCCCCTTCCCCTTACTTCACAAGCCTTGCCAGGACCTCTCAGTCACACATTTAGTCTGATGGCAGTGTACAGGTATGTGCAGGCTCCATGCTTCATAGTTCCATGCTGATGGGCTGCTTTGGCCTTCTGGATGATTCCCAAGCAAGTGAGAGAACACAAAGGGCACAGTTTGCTTGCAAAGCTGCTGCTAGTACGCTAGTACAGGCCAGTACGTTTCATTTACAAGGGGAAAAAAAAACCTAAACAAAACCAAACCAAAAAAAAAAACACAAAAAAAAAAAAAGAGGATCTTTTCCTCCTTTTTGCTAATATCAATTCTCTGCTACTCCCTCCCACATTTATTCAGGGCTTTTCCTGCTGTCTCAGAAACTGAAGCTCATTATGTTTGGTAGATCTATCTACATGTGTAAAGATAAGCACCAACAGAGCTGCTCATATAATCAGCACCCTGAAGAGATGAGATCATTTCACACTTGGTGTTTGCTTCCTGTTATACTCAGGAATTTACAGTGGCTGCTGGCCACTATAAATACTGAATGACAAGAGGTGTTCCTCATATTTTACTGCAATAGCCACTGCCATGTTTTTGTCCTAAAAGTAATTTGATTTGTTGCATTGACTTCAGTGGGTTTTCATTCCTAATTAAATGTTCTTATGATGGAATGATGCAATTTTTTTGTTCAGAAACTGGAGCTGAAAAATTTAATTCAGAACAGTTCTGCTGAAAAAAAACTCAAACTCCAAAACATACACTTTTTCACTCAGTCCCAGCAACTAAATCAGGGACACAATCTTTCCTTATCTAGAATGAACAATATTATGGAAGATCTTTTTCCTTTACTTTTAAACAGATAAGATGAACTGAGCTAAACCAGTAGTAAGCTTTCTTCAAATCTCAGCCTCCATGTTATTATCCACTTCTATGCAGATATCCAGGTGAGGCGAAAATAGTTGTCTTTCTCTGAAGTACAAATGGAGTTGCAAGGAAGAAGTAGTAATATTAACAAACTATTCAAGCCATGAATAATAAGCAGCATAAATGATGCTTTCCTGTTGGCAAAATAATGTTTCTGATCTTGGTTTTCAGAATGTGGCATGCTAGTGGAGGAGGCACATAGTAAGTAAATGTGGACACACTTGTTCTGTTTTGGACCTGAAAAAATGCTGTTTAATTAAATAAGAGGAAACCATTTCATCTCTAGTGAGTGGCTGTCATTCCCTCTCTTGTGGTCATTCTTATTTCCTTTTGCCCCTCCGATTCCTTAATAACATGATCGTGCCGGTGTTAGCAATATTCCCAGCATGTCCAATGGAAATACAAAGGAGATCTATATGTTGCTATTAAGATTAATTGGCAACATTGCCCCTGATGGGCAAGTAATTATCTTCTTAAGGTTTAGTTGTCTCAGTCTGAATACTTATCTTTATCCAACTAGTAAAATCAAGGTCCCACTCTATTGTTCTCTCCCACAGAGGGTGATTTATTTGATAATACGGTTTCAAACACAATTTCTTCCTAAATTATCCTATCCATTCCATTATTTATTTTCTATTATCTTGAAACTCCAAAAGACTAACTAAAAACATTAAGTGCCAAATTCACTGTAAGTTTAGAAACTCTGACTGACATCTTTAAATCCCTTTGATGAGATTCTGTGATGTCCTTCTGTCTTTTCCATTAACTTGGAGTGGTATAGTGGTGATAAAAAAATCTGGTCAGTATTTGTCTTCCAGATGTTGTGTAAATACAAGCATCTGTATTTCATCTATACTACTTTTTTCTTTCAGTAACAATGCACATTTTTCTTTAATTTTGTAAAGGCCATGCTTACTTCCTTTCCATGCCACAAAGACCCAATCTGTATACGTAGAGAATTCACGATTAAACAAAAAAATAAAATAGTCTGGAACAGGTACTAGCCAAAGATCCTCTTGGGGAATTAGTTACAGTTATATTATCAGGACAGTCAGGTCTCTAATGCCGCGATACTGTCATAGTAATTCAAAGCTAAGCTACTTTATAAATATTAAATTCTTAAGCAAATAGAAATTCACAGTATACTAGTTTTGAAACATTACTTCCACCTGTCACTGTGATCCTGAATGCACAATCTGAATGGCAAAGGACTTTTCCAATATGAAGGTGCAAGTGTCAGGATTTTCATTGTAGCTCTGTATAAGAACAATTTTTGTTGCTCTGTTTTTCTTCTAGAAGATATGTAAAATGCTTTCCTCTGAGAAACATCTTCTGCTCACAGGAAGAGATCTGCAGCCCTGTTCTGTTGTTGCACGTCATAATTAACATCTAGCATGCAAGTGCTAACAAAAATAAGCAAGAAACATTTCCTTATTTTCCAAGAAGGTCGCATTTGAAGCCAACACTCTCTGTTGGCCAAAGCTCATTATCTGACAAGGCCAAAAAGAAAATCCGTTATGTCTGGCTAGCATAACAGCAAGGAGGCTAGAGTATGCATCCTGCAAGAGTGTACCCTTGGCCCTGTTCATTAGACTTTGCTTAAGACAAGCAATTGCACAATAGGCATAAAGACTGGCATATCGGCAGTTTGAGAGCTTTACAAAAAAAACTACAGCACCATCCCAAAAACAGAAAAAAGGAACAGTCCTGTGGAAATGTACTTTCAGCCTTCATATGCATAATTACTCATAAAGGGACCTCTGACTTCACTGACTAGTGCATGAGCACCTGCCTGCAGGCCAGCTGTTAAAACCCGCATAGCACATGTGCATTTCTCTAACAGAACACCTGGGTGTAGATAGTTTCTTCCTGTCCATATATTCATCCTGAAGGGCTGAGTATATTTAGCTAGGTTGTGCTGAGCGAAATTGTTTGTTGGTGTATTAAAAGCTGTGAAATAATGCCTTACAATTTCTTCTTCTAAGGGGTGAGAGCCCTCCTCATCTTGCAAATGACATCTTGCAGAGAGCCAAGAAGAGATCTGTGTGTTCAACATCTTGTAATAACTTGAAATCTTTGCATCAAACTAGCAGCTTTCTCAAGAGCAGGGTCATTGTACTGAAACAGAAGAGAGCAAAGCTCCAAGCTATCAAGCAGAATACAAGCAGATTAGGAAGAAATTAAATTAATCAATATGGTGCCTTCTTGGTCAAAAGTTCACTAAGAGAGAAGGGAGCTGTATGATGCACCCATCTCCTTTTAATTGGCTTGGAGCTGGTTCCTACCACACTCAAGCAGATGTGGTGTCAATAGAAGTCATGCAAAGGCAGAAACTTTTAATTATTTTAAAACATCTTGCTTCATCTTGAGGAGCTGTGGTTAGGACTTGTCAGGGAGAGAGATTTAAAAAAAAAAAAAAAACGAAAAAGAGAGAATGGGCTAATATTTGCTGGAATAAATCTCTGAGTTTGCTTCTAAAACATTTGTGTACAGTGTTTATTAATGCAAAAGGTTAGCTGTGCAGCAGCACATAAGAAATAAAAATGCTGTAAACATTTTTGTAACCATGGGGTTTTGCAGCAGAAGCATTATGGATTACATGGGATTTATTTACATCCTTTTCTTAGCTCAAAAAATTACATCTGTCTAGAGAGGGAAGAAAAGAGGCGTCATACAACTTATTACAAACCATGAAACAGCTAGCTGTGTATTGGGTATTTGAACCATTAGTTATAAGGCAGAAGTAGAACTGGAATACCTTCACATATATATGACAACCACTAGCTCTTGAGCAGTCATAACCCCTCCTAGATAACTGATAAAGAAAGAACAGCTGAGAGAGTTAAATCTGTTTCTCACAATGAGTAGAGGCTGTGATGGATAACATTTTTTAGGATCATTTTCATTACACTGAATCTTCAAAAAAACATCAGCTTTTGGGAGGAGAGGGACATGCACTTTTGCTCAGATGCAGTTCTGCTCTCTGCCCCTTTGCACCCCACCTGAAAAGGGCTGAGCGTGGCTAGCAACTTAGGGCAGTTACTGTTACTTAGGGCAAAGAGGTATTAGTAGGCTGAGTCCTTCATGGCAGGGAAAGTCCAGGAGGCAGAAAGGGACTTTGTG